TTGTAGAATTATTACACACACACACACACACACACACACACACACTCAATTATTAGACACACACACACACACTCACAAACATAATCTTGGTGTTGCTCTTGATTTTTCCGTAAGCATGACGAACTAGGTATTGTTTGAGCTCTCTCTCTCTCTCTTTTTTTTTTTGTTTATTTTACGTAATTCATGATATTTGATTTGTGAAAATCATCCTAATTGTATTTATGTTGTTCTTCGGCATAGGCGAGGAGGAGCATTTTCCGCTACTTCAACTGCTGCGCCAAGGCTTGATGATATCTTGATCTATTAACTCGGCACACCTTCTAATTTCCGGTGTCGTAATGTAACGTAAAATTGTGTTCTTTGTTCTATGTGCTGCCAATGTTGAGACAGTGTTTGAATGAGAAATGAAAATTTCGTGCGTGACTTAAAATTTGTATGGAGTACAAGGTTTACGTAGTGAAAATCTGAGTGGATCAAATATTATAACAACCTTTCAGTCTACTTTAATTTAAGCTTCAAAGGTTGTATAAAATAGGGAAATGCTACGGTCATGTTACGGAATTATTTCGTCGGGATTTGTAACCGTTAGATTATCATGTAATCGTCGAAAATAGTTGATATAACGGCTATAAATTCTAACAGAATTGTTTCGTAATGAGACTGTAACATCTAGCTTATAAATATAGTCATAGATCAGATCGACTCTTGCTCTTTTGCTCTTGTCGAGATGACACAATTTGAGATCAGGACATGTTCTTTTAGCCTTTAGATGCGCTTTTATTTTCTTGTCGGCTAAGCCGAAACATCTTATTGGGTCAGATCATGATAGAAGCCCACGTAATATTTTGGTGGTCCACGAAAGACGATTCTGCGCAACTCCTCAAGTCAAAATTTGTTGGTAAAAATTACACTATTTATCGCGGCCACTACATGCTTGGACGGCGGCGACTGCGGCCACAGCTCGTGCGGCCGTCATTGACCTTGCGGCCGGCCCCATCTTCGGCCGCAAAAGTTGGACGTCCCGACGGCTGTCGGCCTTCTTCGCCCACGTAAAGGTTGCGCGCGGCCGAATTTTTCATTTTTAATTTGCTTTTTATAAATATCGCGTCCGCCGGATCATTTTCCGTTGGCCGTGATTTAACTTTTTTTTTCTTTCTAATTATTTTTTTAAATATTAATGCTATATAATATATATTAAATTATATATATTACTAGAACTATATATATTAAAATTATATATATTAATATATATATGTTAATATATATATTAATGTATCTATATATTACTAAAATTATATATATTAGTTAATAAAAAAGTATATATATTACTAAAATCATGTTAATTATATATTTAAAAAAATTTCAATATTAATTATATATTAATATATATAAAATTATATATATTAAAATATAAAAATTTATAGTTAATATATATTAATATATAATTTATGTATTAATATATAATTAATGAACAAAATTCGTCCATATATATATATATATATTAATAGATATTCAAAGATATATATTAATATAGATTAATAAAATAAAAATATAATTTATATTAATATTTATTAATGAAGTTAATATATTATATTATATATACATATTAATAAAAATATAATTACTAGTGTAATATAAGTTGAAAAAAATATAATTAGTTTGTAAGATTTTATAATCAATTAATAAAATAGTAGTTACTAGTCTAATATAAGTTAATTTTATAATTATTAGTCTAATATATATTATTAATTTGGTCTCGTAATTATCTTATAACATTTAAATAAATGAAAATTAAAAAGATTGTTTATTAATTAATAATTTAAATTTTAGATTTAGGATGATGGATCTTTTCGAGAAGCGAGCCATCAAGAGTGGGACCAATATGTTGCGAGTATGAGGGTTCTGGACACCGACACACGTATAGTCGCTGTGTAGATGCTTCCGCTCGTCGAGAGATGGAGCAGAGGCGTCGTCAGGCTCGCATGATACAGACTGGTCCGGCTGGCAGTTTGAGACCTCTCGTTCCTCATATGCATAGTGGTCAACAGTCCCACTCATTCATGTCTGGCAGTACGGGACCTCTCCTACGTATTCATCAGCAGAAGGATTATTCTTATGGGTCGGCAGCCTCTCATTTTAAAAAAGTGACACATATAAAAAAGAAAAAGAGAAAAAAAAGAAATAAAAGTGGAGTTTTTTCTTATTGTATGTTGAGTAAACCATATATAGCTTTTTGCACGTGTATGTAGACAAAGAGAGTTTGAAACGAGTAAATCATGTGTAGAATGACTCGGGACGGGTATTTATTTTTTAATGATTCATCTTGTGGGGACAGTATCTTCGAATTTGAGTTTAATTATGTGGTAACCGTAGAAAGACGAGACTTTCATTTCGCATGATTATTATTTTTGGACCGTTCGATCTTTCTTCTCGAACAACTTGTTGTTTTGTTTGCTTGAGAACAAACAAAGTGTTAAGTGTGGCAGAGTTGTTTATTGTGTTTGTGTGTTTATTTTCGTGTTTTTTGTGCCTTAGTTGAGTCTTTGTAGGTTCGTTTTAATGTCGACCGGTCTATTTTATCGTATTTTGTGCATTTTTATTCTCTTCATGTGCTTTTGTATTTTTGCCGTATTTTCTTGCGTATTTTGGTGTTTTAGGTCCTCATTGTTCGAGTTCGGGGAGATGAGACATTTCTGAGACATTTTCGAGCCAACCGCACATATCCAAGCCATGATCCGAACCAATCGAGCCGTCCGAGCCATTTTATCGAGCTATTCGAGCACCCGAGAAAGTCATTAGAGGACACGAGCACTCGCAGGGAAATCCTTTCGCGCCCAATGAACCAAGGTGAGCTTGAGAGAACCTGGACATTCTCAGCGAACCTCCTTTCGCGACCTGCGAACAACGCGCCTACAAAACACCTCTTTAGCACTCTCAGCGAACCTTCTTTGGTGACCGACGAAACGCGCACCCCAGCAGCTCCAAGACCTTGCACTCGTTGCGAACATCCGTTGGCAACCCGCGAACGCCTGTTCCTGCACTATTCCATGCCCAAAGTAGCTGCGAATCCCGTTTCGAGACCTGCGAACTTCAAAATTTCATTAAATGTCTGTGTTTCTAGTGTGTGTTTGTGGTGCAGCTATAAATAGACATTGTGCTTCGTATTTTTGGAGACAACCCCTCATTTCTCAACTTTTAAGTTGGGAAATCCTCTCTATTTTCTCTTTTTCTTTTTATGCTTTGGTTTGGAGGTCTATGACTCAATTTTTTCGGCGAAATTTCGGCAACCTTATTTTTAATCAAGATTCGAGTTTTACGCACTATTTTCGTCCGGGCATGCGATAGGAGAGTAAGTACCTTGCTTAGGGCTTACTACTTCGAGTTTGTTTTTTTAATATTGTGTTGATGCTCAACTCTAGGTTTTTGCTTTATTTTCATTGCTTGTTAAAGTGTGTTAGGATTCAATACGTGTTTATCTAGTATAAATGTCTCGACTTTGCTCAAACGTGATGATTCAGTGTAGAAAGCTCGTGTTAGAATACCTAGGATCACTTTGCTCGCATTCTCTTGTTTATTTTTGTTTTGTTGAGTTATGTATACTTCGCAAAATTTCGATCTATCTTTAGTTCTTGCATCTTTCATCATATGCTCTTAGATTTATAGTTTAATTTCGTGCAATCCAAATCCCTTCAAGCGAGTAAAATGTAGGACCTTATTTTTTGTTATGTGATTTTGATGACTAGGTAGTGACGAAGCTCCGAACAGCCTTCATTTGAGAACGACCCGAGTCGGGTAGCTCGATTACAATATATCCACAAAAATACTACCAACAATAGGCCCATCTTGGGCTCCTCTCTTTTGTCGTCGGTCGACAATCATTTTATCATTGTTCAGGGGTTGTGAAGGTCATCCTTTCTTGTCTGGTTGGTGTCTCATTTTTTTGCCGTTTTGGATGATAGATCGTGTCCAAAGATTGCATATCTGGATAGCCTTTACCATCGCGAAGTTGGGATTTCTTAGATCTGCTATTTTTTGTTTGTGGTAATGTTTTTCTCTGTGTGTCTGATTTCGGTTAGCTGGTTCAGATAGTGGTGTTGGCGAAGCTTGTTGCTGGTCGGGAGGACTTCAGTTTAGTTTATAATAAGTATTTTTTTTTTTTTTTC